CTCATTACATCCTGGTAATTACAACAACACTGGTTATTTTCAGACTTTTTGATATATGTCATTATCTCTGGTGTGAGATGATACCTCATCGTTTTGACTTGCATTTCTTAATGACAATGAGGTCTTTTTCATATACTTGTTAGCCATCCTTATTTCTTAGGAAAGTGTGTGTTCATCTCTTCTCACCCATTTTTGACAGATTGTTGGAATTTTTTGTTTGTTGTCAAGTTGTGAATACTTTCTATAAATCAAGGGAACTAACCCTTTAAGTGATGTACTATGTACAGATATTTGCTCTCATTCAGTAAGGCATCTTTTTACGTTAGCATGAGTTTCTTTTGCCACACAAAACATTTTTAGTTTATTCCCATTTGCTGTTTTTTATTTTTGATGTCTTTGCCTCTCTGTTCAGCTCATTGGAAACATCTCGAAGGTCCATTTCCTGGAGTGTTCTCTAAGGTCCATTCCTGGAGTGTTCTGATGTTTTCTTCAAAATATTTTATAGATTCTGATCTAATCTCAGGTCTTTAATCCATGTGAACTAAGTTGTGAACATTTTCAGTTTAAATTTTTTTCCATGTAGCTATCCAGTTTTCCCCAGCATAATTTGTTGAAGAGTTTTTATTCTTGCCGTACTTCATGCACTTAGCGTCTTTGTCATGGATTAATTGCCCATTAATCTGAAGGTTTGTATCAGAACTCTCAATTTTTGTTCTATTGGTCTATAAATTTGTTTTACCAGTGCCAGTTATGATTAGTGTGTAGTACAGTTCAAAATTGGGAAATGCAATATCTCCCATTTCTTTTTTTTTCCCTCTCTGAGAATTGCTTTGGAGTTTTATGGTTTCATAAAAATCTTTAATAGTTTGTTACAAGTCTTTGAAGAACCATAGAAAATTTAATGGGGCTTGCTTTGAATCTGTGTAATATGTTGGGTTGGAAAGTTATTTTGACAACATTTATTCTTCAAGTTCATGAACAGAAAGTATTTTTCCATTTCCTTGTGTCATCTTCTACTTCAGCATTAATGTATAGTTTTCACTATATCTGTCTTTCATTTCTTTTGTTAAATTGATTCTTAGGTACTTGATGTTTCATGACACTATTTTGAAATGGGTTGTTGTTACTTTTTAGTTTATTATTTTTATACAGAAATACCACAGATTTTTGTGTATTAAGTTTGTAGACTGCTGCCTTGCTGTACTGGTTTATTTTTCCTAGAAGTTGTTCTTGTTGTTATTCTTTTGTAGAGCCTTTGGGACTTTTATAAATATTACTTTGTGGTCTGCAAATAGTGATTATATTTGAACCTCTTTTTGATGTGAATCTCTTTGATATCTTTTTCTTGTCTGTTATGACAAGGGCTTCCAATGCTATGTTGGAAAAGCAAGGTGTTATCCTAAATGGAGAAAAACTAAAGCCTTCTCTTGAAGATCAGGTTGCCACTCTCACCACTTCTATTCAATATAGTACTAGAATTACTTGTAATAGCAATTAGGGAGGAAATGATATCAAGGGCATCCAGAAAAGAAAGGAAGAAGTCAAGCTCTTACTATTTGTATATAACATGATATTATACTTAAAGAACTCTTAAGCTTCTACCAAGAAGGTTCTAGAAACAGTAGATCTGTATTGTAAAGTGGCTGGTTACAAAATCAGTACCCAAAAGTCTATGGCTTTCCTGTATGCAAATAATGAAAGAGAAGAAAATGATATTTAAAAACAGTCCTGTTCACAATCATGCCTTAGAAAATCAAGTACCTCTGAATCAGCTTAACTAAGGAGGTGAAGGACCTGTACAAAGAAAACTACAAAATGTACTTCAAGAATTAAAAGAGGACATAAGGAAATGGAGACACATCCCCTGCTCATGAACTGGGAGAATTAACATTGTGAAAATGGTGATTCCTCCCAAAGCATTCTACAGATTCATTGTGGTCCTATAAAGATGCCCATCACATTTTTCGAAGACGTTGATCAAACACTCCAGAAATTCATATGGAGCATGAATAGCTTGGAAAAAAGAAGATGGAGGCAACACCCTCCCCAACTTTAAACTGTACTGCAAAACAGTAATTAAAACAGAATGGTATTGGACTAGAAACAGACCTGCAGATCAATAGAATAGAGTTGAATATTCTGACACATACCCTCAAATGTATCATCATTTAATCTTCGAGAAGGGGGCAAGAAATATGAAGTGAAGCAAGGGAAAACTCTTTAACAAGTGGTGCTGGGAAAACAAGTGGCCTGCACAAAAGTCAGATCAGAATGGATTAAAGACCTCAACATCAGACCCGAATCCAAAAGGTACATGGAAAAAAATGTAGGCAAAACCCTCCATGATATTGAAGCTGAAGATATCTTCAAAGCTGAAATGTCACCGACCAATAAGTGGGAGCAAAGATAAACAAATGGGATTATATTAAACTAAGAAGTTTCTGCACCTCAAAAGAAACAGTGACCAAGAAACAAAGACAGCCTCCAGAATGGGATACCTTTCTGATTAGGGGTTAATACCCAAGATATACAGGACTCTTGTAGAAGACACTTGTAGAACTTTATAAGAAAAAAAAATTCAACCCCATCCAAAAAATGGGGAGAAGAAATGAACAGAAACTTCCTCAAAAAAATTTGAATGGCCAAAGGCGCATGAAAAAAAATGCTCTTTATCACTAATCATTAGGGAGATGCAAATCAAAACAACAATATCATTGCACACCACAGAAACTTGCACACATTTGAAAGTACAATAATGACCAGTGCTGATGCGGATATGGGGAAAAAAGGAATCTCCTTCTCTGTTCTTGGGAATGCTGACTGGCCCCGCCTTTTTGGGAAACAATATGGACATTCCTCAAAAAACTAGAAATTGAGCTCCCATTTGACTCAGCAATACCACTTCTGGGACTATACACAGGAGGCCCAAATATACATAATGGAAACAGCAGCTGCATTTCTCTTATGTTCTTCACAGTACTATTCACGATAGCCAGAATCTGGAAACAACCGTAAACAGATGAGTGGATAAAGAAACTATAGTACATCTCTACAGTGGAATACTACACAGCAGTTAGGAAAAAGGAGTCATGAAATTTGCTTATAAATAAATGGATATGGAGAGTACCATGCTGAGTGAAATGAGTCAGGAGAAGGACATTTAAGAATGACTGCATTTATTTGTGCTATATTAAAAACTACATAGTAGAAGACATGGCAGTAACTATGGGATATGGATGTGACTGCTGGTGTTTCTGGAAGTACAGGGGGTTGAGGCCGGCTGCCCCCACTGCTATGGGACCTCTGAGTCCCATAGAAAACTGGTGTGAGGCCTCACATTTTACTGGAAGGGAGTTGCAGTGATACTAAGGCCCTGTGCATTTCCAACCGGACTTCTGAGTGTGGGGTGGGTGGAGTAGAGTTGTAGTGTGCACGGTTTGGGGTTTGGTGTGTCTGAATTGGGCAGCAGCTGTGGACTGGTGCAGGTTGGGAATTCCAGAGGGATGTCCGGCTGTGGAGCCATCTACCAGCTCTGTACCTCCCAAGAATTTCTTCCCTCCCTCCCTCCCTATGATTGAGTACCCATTCCTCCACCAGTGCCCATTCTTCATCAATGTTCCCAGTATCCCTCCCGCCTCCACCCTCCATACCTCCCCAACCCCCGCCTCTGTGGCAGACACACTCCCTTTTACTCTCTCTCTCCTTTTGGGTATTACGGTTTGCAATACAGGTAGTGAGTGGTTATCATGTTTGGTCTATAGTCTACTTTCAGCATGCATCTCCCATCCCAAGCAAGCCCTCCAGCCATCATTTATTTAATGGTCCCTTCTCTCTCCCAGCTGCCTTTTCCCCCAGCATGTGAGTCCGGCTTCCAAGCCCTGGAGGAATCCTCCTGGCCCTTCTCTCTACTCTCCTTGGGTGTTAGTCTCCCATTCTGTTGCTTTATATTCCACAAATGAGTGTAGTCATTCTATGTCTGTCCCTTTCTCTCTGACTCAAGTCACTTAGCATGATACTCTACATGTTGATCCATTTATATGAAAATTTAATGGTTTCATCTTTTCTAACAGCTGCATAGTATTCCATTGTGTATATGTACCCAAGTTTTTCTAACCTGTCATCTGTTAGTGGGCACTCGGGTTTTTTCCAGATTCTGGCTATTGTAAATAGTGCTGCAATAAACATACAAGTGCAGATGTCATTTCTACTATATTTGCCTCCCAAGAATTTCTAAAAGTGTGTTAGTGAACCTTATATTCTTAGTCATTCTAAGACAATCAATTAAGATGGTTTTGTTAATCTTTATTTTCTATAGTTTGAATTAATAAAACGATTTCTTCATGTATCTTGCCCGCATGGCAGAGCCTGGCAAGCTCCCCGTGACGTATTCGATATGCCAAACACAGTAACAACAAAGTCTCCAATGGAGACATTACTGGGCCCGCTCGAGCAAATCGATGATCAACGGGAGGCCTTTACCTTTACCTTTACCTTTAATAGGCCCTCCCGTTGATCGTCGATTTGCTCGAGCGGGCCCAGTAACGTCTCCATTGGAGACTTTGTTGTTACTGTGTCTGGCATATCGAATACTCTCGGTAGCTTGCCGGGCTCTCACGTTTACCTTTAATAAAATTATTAAAATGCCACTTGTGTTTGTAACACACATATCTAATAACCATGCCTCTATACCCTGTAGGATTTAATTTTTTTCCTTTAAAAGTGAGTGCCTCTTAATTTCCATTCTGTATGTGTGTGTGTGTGTGTGTGTGTGTGTGTGTGCGCGCGTGCGCGCACACATGCTGTTTTTTATACTGTGCTGAGGATTTTACTGAAGGCATCCTCTCTTGTTATAGTGTAAGGCACCAAGGGCTGACCACATGCCAAATGACTCATTTATTATCTGGCAGAGTTCTGGTTTTTAATCTTTTTGGTCAAGACTTGATATTCATAGAGGTACAAGTTTTTTTTTTTAATGCTTGTTACTTTTTTTCTTCCCACAGAGCTGAAAAACTTCAGCTGCTGAATCACAGGCCTATGACTGCTGTTGAGATCCAGCTGGTGAGTGAAGCAGGCTGAACTTGTGGGTTTGGTTTATGAACCATAGAAAGGATAATAAAGGTTGAGAACAGACAAGCCAGGAGCTGCCAATCTGGGAAAGACTGCTCAACCACCCCGTTTTATGAGCGAATGGAAAATTCATCAATTTGACCTACTTAGTATGAAATTTAAATTTAATTCTTTCTAGGTTGGGGATGTAACTCAGCAATGGAATACTTGCATATGTGAGACCTTGAGTTTGATCCCCAGGGGGTGCGGGAGGGGGGTCCTCAAAATAAATAAATCTTCCTTCTATCAGGTTTGAGCCTGTGATCTGGCAGGTCTGTGTTTCCATGATAGCCTGCATTGTTCTGGCCATTGCTTTCCTGTTGGGGTTATTACTGACCAGATGTTGTATAAAAACATTGGCCATTGGGCTCAGCATGACTCTGGTGGAATTTATCTCTCCTCAACCCCCCACCCCCACCACACCACACCCCCAATTCACCCTGATTATTATTTCTCTTCTCAGTTAACAGATCTTTGTGAACTTTCCCATTTGCATTCTCTCTCTCACTCTCCTGGCCCAAGTTCTCCAAGTCTGGAAGTCATTTTCTTCCTTCCGCCTTATATTCAGTTAATCCCCACAATCTGTTACTTCTATCTCCTATTCTTCCCCTACTGTACTGCATTAATTTCTGTCACCTTTCCTCAGCTCAGCACTGGCAGCATCCTGACCATTTACCATGGTTTGGTTCACACACCCTCTAGTCCATCTTCTGTACCACTGTGGTTTCCCTGTATAAAACCATACATAAGATGATAAGCTTGGAGGCTTATCATCTGCAAAGTCTAAATTGCATAGCTTCAGAATGTAGAAGGCAGGTGTAATACATGGCTGTGATAATGTAAGGAGAATGTGAAGTTGACGTCCAGTGACACAAACTGAGTAGTTACTATATTGGCATATTGTAACAAGTTCAAACTCACTATTGTATATGCAGAACAGAAATATTGGACTTTCACTGCCAGTAAAATAAAAACCAAAATGGCTGGAGAATTACTAAAATGAAAATAAAAGTTTCCAAAGTCCATTTTAGCAATATTTAGTTCTGGTCAAATTTCTTCCAGAAAGGCATGAAAAAAATTGCCTACTAGAGTGATTTTTGAGAAAAAAAAAATTCTAATGTTTTTTAAAGGGTCATGGGATATTTAATGTTTGGCTAATGCTGCTGCTGCTGCTGCTTCTTATTTTGGCTGCTGAGGGTTAATTCTCTTCAAAATGCATCCAAAATTAAATTAGGAAATTCCTTCCATAATGGGTGCCCTTCTGGGAGAAAGACCTTTAAGGCTAAGTAAGGTTTTTTTGTGGGGAACACATGGAGATAGCCTCAGTATTCTTATATTTTTGACTGTGTTAGAGATTCAACTTTAAAAAGAAGGAAAAAACTGAACAAAAAGAATTTAATCCCTTTCCCTCTGGGTTAAAGATCACATGTCATTTCTCTTCCAGCTTTAATCAGCAACATGTGTTATTCATGGCTTAATGACAGATGGAGAGCAGCGATGATGAGGAGGAGTGTGACCTCATCTCAGACCCTGTTGGGGCTCTCATTGCTTGCTGAGATTAGCTGCTCATAAGCGTGTCTCCTGGGATGCCAGGCATGTGCCAGGGCTTTGTATATGCCCCTTTAGCTTAAACCTTCCCACCACAGTCAGGGCTAATGATTTGATCTGTAGCTGTAAGACATGCGCTTTCGTATGGGGAGAAGGAAGAGTTGTGTGGCATCCCCTCAGACTGCTCACTTCTCCTTTCCACGAGCCCTTAATAAAAACTGCATGTTGGAACTGCGGGAGTTGGCTCAGAGAGCTGGAACATGCATTTTGTGGAGGCCTTGAGTTTGATTCCTGGTCCCGAATGTTCTCCCGAGCACTGCCAGCATGGCCCTGTGACCCCCAAGCGCTCTTGGGCTTGAGCATTGCCACGTTGCTGACCTAAGCACTGAACCCGTCAGACCCACACAGCTGCACCCAGTATCAACGGAAATGGCCCCTTGCCCTGTAAGCGCTCCTTGAGCTCCTCCAAACAATAACACTGTATGTTGTTTCCTAGCCATTGGACCATTTTATAGCCAGAATTTTTTTTAAAGATTTTATTATTGAATCACTGTGAAATATATCTTTACAAAGCTGTTCGTAATTTGGTTTCAGTCATACAGCGTTCCAACACCCATCCCTCCACCAGTGTACGTTTCCCAGCACCAGTGTCCCCAGGTTCCCTCCCATAATCTCCACACCCCTAGCCTGCCTCTATTATAGCCAGAATTTTTTTCCCAGTCAGATTTTATTTTCTAGATTTTACTAGACTAGAGGAAATAGCAAGTCATTTACCAACTCTTGCAGTTATCTCTTTGTACCAGAGAGGGACAGAAAAATGAGGTTTTCCAGATAGAGTGGAAAATGCAAAGAACTTGATAATTTTCCTGTGTTACCCTTACAGTGATTTACTGTGCCTGGTCCCAGAAGTGATTCCAGCATTTCATTAGTGTTCAGTTTTGGAAGCTGAAGTTTCACTTTTTTAGTTATGTACCTCAGTCATGATTTGTTGCATTCCTCATTTCTACCGATGACTGATAAGGTCTGTGAAGAAATCACACAGCTTTTGTGACTTCTGCCACTGCCTGTCTCCTATTCATTGGAACAGTTTGTGACACTGCTGTCCTGAATACAGGACAGTGACCCTATGACTTTATAGGCCACTGTCCTGACCAACACTGCCATCTGTGCCTGTTAGAATTGAGTGATTATTTAAAAAAAAAAGTCGAATATATTTTATGGCTTACAAACCACTGTACAGTACCTGTTTGGTCTTTACCATAAGCATGCTTTAATTTTACATTAACCAAAATTGAAATTTATAGGGGTAAGGGAACTATTTGAGGTCAGGTAGAAGTGCGTGTTGCTCCTTTGACTTTGAGTTGTGTAAGGAAAGTAGATTATGCTTGGCAAATAGAATGAAAAACAACTCGGTCTGGGATGGCCCTTTGGCAACACACACCTTACAAATGTGGGTGAGGCTCCAGGTTCAAGCCATGACCCTGCTCCGAGTACACTAGCGTATTCCCGGTGGCTGTGCTGTATGGGGTGCCGTCTCCACGGTAGGTGTGGTGCTCTCCGGCCTATCACAGCTAGGTGTGTGCTCACACTTCACCACCACAAAAAAAGACGTGAACACCATGGTCAGGTATGAACACTACAACCAAACTGGTATGTGAGCCACCACAACTAAGAGTATGATCCATGGCGTGCACTTGTAAACACTGCAGCACAAGTGTATGGACACCACAGCCAGTGCGTTCATAGAAGAGAAAAGGAATAGTGAAGGAATGCAGAATAATAAAGCTCAATTGGACAACCTCTGGAAATTGTAATTATGTTATTAAAAAGGCATTATATTGACACCTCTGTAAATACTTTGGATTTAAAAATTTACTTACTATTTTATCCTAATATGTTGAAATCTTTAGTATCTACCTTTATTTGGGCTCTGTTTCTTTTGTGTTGGAGAAAAAGGTGAAGAGCAATATTATTATTTACCCTAGTGGTCCAAGAGAGGTTAATGAGTTTTGAGTTTCTGAAAGCTATCTTTATGTGTGTATTTCATTTTGCTTACTGCATTTTAGTTTTGTTGTCCTCATCTAACTTGGTAGTTTGGGGTTTAAAAGTACCTAACTAATTATCCCTGAGAGTTATGAGCTAATAAGCTTCTGTTGTTAGTGATGTTGACAAAATTAGAGCGCTCCTAAGAACTGTTACTGAAAAGTAGGTGTTCTTTCTTCTGGGCACTTTTATCTTACTTCTGGCATGCCTAAACTCAGATTAGGATGCAAGATGGTGGCTAGTTGAATCCTGCTGTTTGGTTTCTCAACCAAACAGCCCCTCAGAGGTCATAAAACAAACTTCCTGAATTGCTAGTCAACCCTCCAGTAGCTCTGGGAGAGGAAATGACTGAAACCTACTTGAGAGTGTCACTTTAGAAAGAAACAGTCTGAGTTCCAAGTAAAAGATCTTGTTCCTCCTTTGTTTGTGCTGCAGGCCAACTTCCCCTTATAATGCTTAACTTCCCCTTAATCGTACGGAAAACGTTCTGATTTTATATACAGTGTTGTTGAGACACTTTGGTGGCTGTGACTCCAGAATTACGTGTTTGAGCACTGCACAAATACTTTTAATGAGTAGTTATCTCGTGTAAAGTACAGGAAATTGGGGCTGGAGCGATAGCGCAGCGGGTATGGCGTTTGCCTTGCACGGAGCTTACCCAGGTTTGATTCCCGGCATCCCGTATGGTCCCCTGAGCACCACCAGGAGTAATTCCTGAGTGCAGAGCCAGGAGGAACCCCTGAGCATCGTTGGGTGTGCCCAAAAAGAAAAAGAACATGTACAGAAAATCTCCTTCACCCTCTTCCCCTGACGTATTAATTGTATGTGCCAATTGTTCTCAAATTTGGGGGCATTCATTACTCAGATGGAGATTATCTTTCCTCAGGAGTAAGTAAATTGTACATATTCCTCTTTCTCGCCTCTCCTCCCCACTCATTCTTTGGGCATTGATTATTAATGTTAATTGATAATTATTAGATTATTAATGTTAGATTACTGCCCCTTACAGAGCCTAGTTTTGTATGTTTAATTTAAAAATGAGTTTTTGAAAATAATATTTTTTTCTCAGTAGAACAGCTTTTCTGCGGAGCTTAGAAATCTTTCTGGAAGGTCATTTCATTTCACAGCATGATGGGATGTAGATCAGTTAGCTCAGTTAAGCTCTTCTTTACCTGAGAAAAACACAAGCTTGTTATATAGTTGTGGAAATATATTTTGGATTGAAATGAACTTTAAAAGCTTACTTGTCAAGAGTTTGTTGTAGGATCACAAACTTTGATTAGCATTGGTTCTGTCTGTGGAATGAGACAGTAAGATTCTTTCTTTTCAGGATTTATTTCAGGATGTAAGCTTCTCATGTTGTTTGACCTCAGGAGTTTTTTGTTTGGTTATGGTTTTGGGGGTGCACCTGCCAGTGCTCAGGAAATCACTCGTGTCAGGGGACCAGGGGACATATGGAATGTTAGGGATTGAGCCTGCATGCAAGGCAAGTGCCCTCCCCGCTGTACTGTTGCTCTGGGCTCTACTTAATCACTTGTGTCAGGGGACCAGGGGACATATGGAATGTTAGGGATTGAGCCTGCATGCAAGGCAAGTGCCCTCCCTGCTGTACTGTTGCTCTGGGCTCTACTTTAATCTTCCAGGATTTCTTTCTGGAGATTGTTTTGGTTTTAGTTGTCAGATAGTAAAGATTGCTGTGAGATTGGTAGACGCCTTTGGCTAAGAAAACCATTTGTGAAGGATGATCATTAGGAGTAAACATGGTTAAGTAATCTGGTTGCCTATGTATTGATATTTAAAAGGTGATTGATTATACTCCATTTATATTCACTAATGAGTAAGGATAAGAAAATTCTTGTGAGATAGTGATGGGGTAAGGAACATGCCTTGCAATGCAGCTGGCCCTGGTTTAATCTCCAGCATGACCTGTGGTCCCCCTAGAAGTCATTCCTGAGTCCAGAGCCAGGAATAGCCTTTCAGCATCACTGGGTGTAGGCATCAATATCTTCCCCCACCAAAAAAATTAAAATAAAAAGCTCTCATGACTGTCATAATCATTTCTGTTCAGATTTGCAGACCCTCTGAGAAACTAGGCTTTTAGTGAATCTTTGTTGGGATAGCGTGCAGTGGTCCCACAGCTGTCACTCCACAGACTCCTGATTCCCAGGAGATGACCAAGGGCCACATGGTGTAAGCATTAATTTAGGTGCTAGTTCTTCCCCTTGCTAGGATTATTTTGAGGATTATAAGAAATATAAAGTGTCAATAGCACATGAGCTTCATAAGGGAGTGTGGTGGTTGTTGTGAGGAATTGAGGAAAAATAAGGCATTTGACAGCCATCTGAAAGAGTTTTTATACTGTTCATAAGTTATAGGTGTATGGGTTATGAAATACAAAATATATAATGTGCCATTTTGTTCCCCAGAGGTGAGTATTCTTTGCATGTACAATGTATTTTCATGATAAGAAGATTGGGCATAGGTCTGTCAGGGCTTTCTTTTTCTTTATCCTGCAACTTGCCTTTTTATTTTTCTTCCACTAATCATTTTGAGCATTCAAATGGACCGAGTACCCCAGAGTTTGAAGTGCTCTCCCTCCCATGGAGCAAGGTGGAGGAAGATGTAGAAATCTGAGCTGTCCCCGGCGCCAGGACTAAGTAGCAGCACGCATGAGGAAGGCTGGGTGAGCCGGAACTGTGAGCCTTGTCAGTAATCCTACTGGGATTTTTCTCTCCTTCTGCAGATGGTGGAAGAGAGTGAAGAACGGCTCACAGAGGAGCAGATCGAAGCTCTCCTCCACACGGTCACAAGCATTCTACCCGCTGGACCAGAGGCTGAGCAGAAGAACCCCAGCAGTGATATCACAATGGATGAAGAGGATCCAGCATAGAAGAACACAGTTGCCCTACCTGCCTCACGAAATTAAAAGGTCCAGCGGCTGTCTGCCAGACAGAGAAGACTGGTTTTGTCTACTAGCCAATATCTCTAATTTAAGCCTTAGCTGGTAAATCAGAAAAGTTAGTCTTTCTCAGAAATAAGCTGGAAAATACTTGTGCCCCCTAAGGAGAAGAAACGTGACAAAAACACACTGATACTGGAGTAAAGAGACGAGAGAGGACAAAGCCAGTGCTGACAGTGATTAATGGAACACTCAGTGGTAGAAAGTTGTCTGCCGGAGCCGTTGCCCCATGTGGCAGGTCCCTGTGCACAGCTGGTCGGATCCACATTGCCTTTGATGTGCTTTGTTCGGATTCATTCCAGCTCTTCTCGGGTACTTCCCAAGCCGGGGTTGAGTGAGAAGAATCCGTTTGGCTGACTCAGTAGTTTCTCTAGGGTCAAACATAACCACCGCAGTTTTTTCACCTTAGAGGACTCTTCTCAAGGACAGCAGAGATCAAGAAGAATAGATCTGGCTTAACTCTTCCTGGTCTCCAGCCCTTCTGCTCTCCTGGCATGGGCTTTGTTTATCAGCTCACTGTTTAATCCTGAATGTCTCATTCCAATTGAAGTGAGACACTCCAGATTGAATGTTAGTGTCAGCAGAAACAGCGGTGGCTGCCTTTTTGACCACCTCCGCTGTCCTGTCCTGGTGTGGGGGTGGGGAGCTGGGTGCCTGCTGGGGTTGGCTGCGTTTCATTTGCTCAACGGGGCAGCTTGTTTACACCTTTAAAAGGAGCACAGTTCTGTAGCTTTGTAAATAGACAAATATATAGGAATGAAAAGTAAACTCAAACTTCTAAATTATTGTTTGTTGTAATGTTGTGTCTCATTTTGAATTTATAAATCTTAGGATAATTACTTTGTGCACATTTGTTGATACTCAGACTTTGGAGAGTTTGGTAGAACCAGACATGGCTGTCCTGGCTTCTGGGAAGATTGCTGAAAGGCTGATTCCTCACATTCACCCTCTCCTTTTGTGGGCAGAAAATGCCTGCATAAGCCCCTTTCAAAATGAGTATAAGACTCATTTTGTCGCGAAGCTATTTTCAGTGCTGTTGTTTCGGTCTCCCTACCTGCAGCACCACTGGTTACTGGTGAGAAAGCTGCCGACAGGCCAGCAGGAGGAGGGTGCACACTCGTGGACTCATCTTTCCTGTAGTCAACAAGTGACTTTTACAAAAAAATAATTGTAATTTTAGGAAGGGTGGGTTGCAGACCAGAGGGCACTAGAATAAACAATAAATGTCCTCTTGGGTTGGTCCCAGGAGCACATTCCATCTTATTTGTAAACCGAAGTGAAAAAAAATAAGGTCAGCAGTCCTGGCCCAGATCTGCTGGCAATTCAGCTCTTGGTTTCTTCTTAAATTATGTATATAATGTATTACCTTTATATATATATGTAATAAGTAAAAGTAAAGTAAAGGCCCTCCCGTTGATCATCGATTTGCTCGAGCGGGCCCAGTAACGTCTCCATTGGAGACTTTGTTGTTACTGTGTTTGGCATATCAAATACTCTCGGTAGCTTGCCGGGCTCTCCGAGAGGGGCAGAGGAATCCAACTCGGGTCGGCCATGTTGGCTGCGTGCAAGGCAGACGCTCTACCGCTGTGCTATTGCTCCAGCCAGTATGTAATAAGGTTACAATAATACTTAAGTTTATAATACTGATATACAAAGTTATTGCACATCCGCGCCATTGTAGTGCCCATGACCTTCCACGCCTGTTCCTGCGTCATTGTGGGTCTGACTTTCCTTCTTTCCTTCCCCCTCACCCATCCCTACACTGTGACTTGACAGTTACAGTTTTGGTGCAGACTGTTACCTCCCTTAGCCACCATCCATATATTTCAGACCCTTCACCTATGTGCCCGTATTACTTCCTGTCAACCTAATTGTCTACTCCCAGCCTGAAACATGGCACTCGTTTGTATTCCAGTGTCCAAGGTCTATTACCATTTGGTATGTTCCATGCCCTTGATTTGTTTGTTCCTCTCTATATTCCAGGTAAGTGAGACTGCCCTGTATGTCTTTATCTACCAATGGCTTACTCCACTCAGCATGATACCCTCCAGTTCCATTCAAGTTTCTGCAAACTGCACGACTATTTTTTCATGTGGCTGCATGAAAAAATGCAGCTTCTTTATCTGTCTGTTGTTTCCATATCCTGGCTGTTGTACTCAGAGCTGCAATGGATATAGTTGTACTTGTGTCTTTTCTAATGAGTGTTTTTGTGTTGAGGGGTGGGCTGTGGATACTTAGAAGTATGGCAGCTGGATCAAATGGAATCAGCTCTTTGTTTCTTTCCTGTTGGTTTAGGTGACATAAATGTTTCTAACTTCCCCAAACTGAAGATTTCAGCATTCATCTGACACCAAAACAGAACACTATAAGAAAATTAAGAACCAACATCCCTTATTAATATTGATGCAAAACTCGCAACAAAAACTAACATTAAAATCATTGTATGGGGGCTGGAGTGATAGCACAGCGGGTAGGGTGTTTGCCTTGCATGCGGCTGACCCGGGTTTGATCTCCAGCATCCCATTTGGTCCTCTGAGCACCACCAGGAGTAATTCCTAAGTGCAGAGCCAGGAGTATCCCCTGTGCATTGCCGGGTGTGACTCCAAAATAAAAATAAAATCATTATATGTCAGGATCAAGGAAGATTTATTCCTAGAATGCAAAATGGTTTAACAGCGAAAATGAGGAATTCCTGGACAACTTCCAGCATGGTTGGTGGAGGCTTTCCCACTCCAGAAAACAATTGTTAGACACCAGCAGAGTGGGTGTCTACAAATTCAGCTTAATTTGTTCATGACTCAGAAATAGCAGCAGATTCTAGAGTTAAGAGCTCAGGCTCCTAACACCTTCCTCTCCTTAAGATGCCAGTCAGGGGCTGGAGCTATCGCCAGATTGTACTATGAGTACAGTTGGGTAGGATGTTTGCCTTGTACACAGCTGAACTGGGTTTGATCCCCTGTATCCCATATGGCCCCTGACCTCTGCCAGGAATGATCCCTGAGCCCCACTGGGTGTGGCCCTTCTTCCTCCACCAACCTGAGTCAAAACAAAACAGACTATTTTGTTTCTGACCTGGCTACAGCTCGGAGGTTTCCACTAGCTCCTCCTTAGACTTAAAGTGCCAGTTGCAAGTCAAGCTGAGCTGTGATTCCGACTGGCCAATTTCCTATCTGAGCAGTTGCCATGACTCCTCAGGTCCAATTAATTTACTAGAGCACCTTACAGAACTCGGGAAACCCATTTCCTCACCGTCTAAGGAATATTAGGAACAGTAAGTTGGAAGAGATGCCCAGGACAAGACAAGGAAAGATGGAATGTCTATACCTCTCCAGGTGTGCCATTCTCACCACCCAGAAGTACTCCCTACTCATCTCTCTTGGGTTTCCATGGAGGCCAAGTAGGCAAGGTAAATTCGATCACTGTCCGTTGGTGATTAAACTCAGCACTTAGGAAATTACAAGGATTTGGTGGATTTTTCAGTCTGGAACTGTAGATGAAGATTATTACATAATTTCTTACATATCACAATGCCATGGTAGTAGCATTGTAGCACTGTCCTCCCATTGTTCATCAATTTGCTCGAGCGGACACCATGAACGTCTCCATAGTGAGACTTGTTACTATTTTTGGCATATCGAATACACCATGGGCAGCTTGCCAGGCTCTGCCTTGGTCGTATATAATATTAACCGGAGGGAGAAAACTAGCATAATTGATAGATGTATTCGATAACTAGGAATAGTATAATGAAGGGCATATATGATAAGTCCACAGTTATCCTGCTCAGTGTCAAATAATTGAAGGCTTTTCCTTTGTTTCCTCCAGCAATGAAACAACCTTGCCCATTTTTTTTTCTACTTCTATTCACATATTACTGTGACAGAACACACACATGCACAAGTCAATTGTAACTAATAAACTTATCTCTGGGAAAGTGATACAGGATCTTCACAGAAAAATCATTTGTATTTTTATTCCCCAATAATAAGAACTCTGAGAAAATATTAAGAAAACTACCATCATGTGTTCTTAATAAAATTTCTACCATCTAAAATAATGGCGCTAAGAGGCTTCAAAGAGGTTAATAGGAAGCGGTACCTTCTAGATTTGAGTGATAACATTCTATGAAATGGCCAAAAGACACATTACACAATGTATTAAGGTTAGGCGAAGCTTACTGCTTCTATTTAGAGTAACATTGAAGAGAATAAATTAGTGTTAAATTTAACTTAGGAGGTGAAAAACTTGTGCAATAAAAACTATTAAACATTGGGGGCTGGAGAGATAGTACAGTGCCTTGCACACAGCTGACCTGGGTTTAGTCCCTGGCACCCCATATATTTCCCCAAGCCCTGCCAGGAGTGATGCCTGAGGGTAAATCCAGGAGTGAGTCCTGAGCATTTCTGGGTGAGTCTCCCCTCCCCTCAAAGAACACAGTACTGAAATAAGACAAATGGAAAGACCACGTGTTCATGCACTGGAAGTTTTAATGTATCATTTATATTAAGATAGATGTCAGCAATACCCTGGGTGATCAATAGGCTTATGCAGAAATATGTTTAGCAAAAATAGAAAACCTAGTAATATTTTTAGCAAACCAGTATTTTTTTTTTCCCCTTTATTTTATTTTATTTTTTTTAAAGTTGTAGATTTACAATTTTTTGTGCTTTGGTTTCAATTATACAATGATCAGATACCCATCCCTCCACCAGTGCCCATTTTCCACCACCATGGATAATATCCCTCCCACCCCCATCCCCCCATCCCCCCTGTCTCTGTGGCAGGGCAATCCCCTGTGTTCTCTCTCTCCTTTTGGGTGTTGTGGTCTGCAAAAGAGGCATTGAGTGGCAAACATGTTCAGTCCATAGTCTACTTTCTACATGCATCTCCCCTCCTGGGAGGATCCTCCAAACATCCTTTATTTGGTGCTCCCTTCTCTATCTGAACAGCCCTTTCCTCTAGGATACCCGGCTGGCCTCTAAGTTATGGAGTAATCGTCCTGGTGCTGATCTCAGCTATTCTTGGGTATTAATCTCATACTTTGTTACTTTATATCCCCCAGATGAATGCAATCCTTCTATGTCTATCCCTCTCTTTCTGACTCATTTCGCTTAGCATGATACTTTCCATATTGTACCACTTGTATGTAAATTTCATGACTTCATCTTTTCTAAGAGCTACATAGTACTCCATTGTGTAGATGTACCAAAGTTTCTTTAACCAGTCATCTGTTCTTGGGCATTCAGGTTTCTTCCAGTTTCTGGCTATTGTAAAGAGTGCTGCAATGAACAAACAAGTGCAGATGTCACTTCGACTATACATTTTTGCCTCTCTGGGATATATTCCCAGGAGTGGTATTGCTGGGTCAAATGGGAGCTCAATTTCTAATTTTTTGAGAATCGTCCATACTGTTTTCCAGAAGGGCTGAACCAGTGGACATTCCCACCAACAGTGAAGGA